CATCCGTGGTTACCAAGCAAGTTCAAGGCCAGCCCGCACTCCAGGAGACCCTGTGCCAAAAGAAAAGGAGGACAGTGGGGAAAACCACAACGATTGATGTTTGTTTATAATTTATGTATTTATTTGTTAGTACGAATGTATATGTGCACATATATGTGCCATGACACATGTGTGGAAGTCAGAAGACAATGCAGGAATTTGTTCTATATTTCCAACAGAGGGATACTAGCTTTTACCACGGTACTAGCAAGCCAGTAAGCAGCACTCTTCTATGGCCTCTGCTTCAGTTTCTGCCTCCAGGTTCCTGCCTTGAGTTCCTGCCCTGGCTTCTCTTCATGATGGACCATAAACTTTAAAATGTAACCCCCCCACTCCACCCCCAACCCACTCACTCAAGTTCCTTTCATCACAGTCCTTTATCATAGCAACAGAAAAGCTAATGAAGACACACCCTTACCTGCTGAGCCACATCACAACCCCAAGAAATGTAAATTTAAACAGCAATGGCAGTCATCCTTAGCTAATAACACATTGTAAACTAAAGTTTCTGAAAGGATAGCAGCTGTGGGAAAGTAAAACCTGACAGAAATTCTGGAAAGACAACCTGGCAGTATCTATAAAAGTTGTTTAGCATTTAGCACATCAATTCCAAGAATTTATTCAGATATAACCACTCTAGGCGAAACAGTATTTGTCCATGGTTTCTTGTTGTTGTCTTGCTTACTGTTAGGGGGTTTTAGGAGCAACAAGCAGATTGCTTCCAAGCAGAGTGCTAAGTGAAACTTTATACACTGGCATGGCACAATAATTTCAAAGTGATGTTTGAGAAAAGGGTATGTAGTATGCTACCGAGTGAATACAAAGGGGAAATATGCATGCAGTCTTTGCTTCAGATGTCTAAAACGTATCTTGGGGAAGACACACATGAAACATATCAGAGCCACATCCCACACTTGCACCTCACGGATGCTCTATAGCCGTGTTCTGAGGGTACCTGGGCAGGGCTGAAACTGCTGTTCATTAGAGCATGCAGCCCCTTTCCTCTCCAGGAACCTCTTCCCATTGATACGCTCAGCTTCCTAGAGCTTGGCTTCCAGGTTGGCCATGTTCTACCGGAAGAAATCAAGTCTGAAACAGGATTTTCAATGTTTCCATCTCCAGTTAGATGGCAGACTCTACCTGAAGTTACTTGTTCTGTGTCTTAGTTAGGGTTTGATTGCAGTGAAGAGACACCATGACCATGGTTCTCTCTTATGAAAGAAGCATTTACTGGAGCCGGATTATAGTTTCAGAGGCTTAGATCATTATCATCACTTCAGGGAGCACTGTGGCATGCAGGCAGACGCGGCATCGTTGCAGGGAGCACGGTGGCATGCAGGCAGACGCGGCATCGTTGCAGGGAGCACGGTGGCATGCAGGCAGACGCGGCATCGTTGCAGGGAGCACGGTGGCATGCAGGCAGACGCGGTGCTGGAGAGATAGCTGAGAGTGCTCTATCTGGATTCACAGGCAGCAGGAAGTAACAGTCAGTAACTGGTCAGGCTAGAGCTTCTGAGACTTCAAAACCCAACCCCTAGTAACACACTTCCTACAACAAAGCCACACCTACTCCACCAAGGCCACACCCACTATAAGGCCTCACCTACTACAAGGCCACACCTACTTCAACAAGGCTACTCCTACTCCCTATAGGCCTATGGGGGATTTTCTTTCACACCACAACAGTCTGTGAGCACAGCTAACTCAAGACCACAAAAGAAGTACTCTTATGTTGCTACTGGTTTAGTTTCAAGTGGTATCCAGCAAATGCTTGGATAGTGTTAGGATTATACAAGTTCGAGCTCTGTGATAGGTATCAGGAGTATAGGAAGGCCAAATCAGACAGTAGTTGAGGGTAGCCTAAATCTACAATCTGTTGCCGGGAGGTGGTGGCACCCGCCTTTAATCCCAGCACTTGGGAGGCAAAGGCAGGTGGATTTCTGAGTTCAAGAGTTCGAGGCTAGCCTGGTCTACAGAGTGAATTCCAGGACAGCCAGGGCTACACAGAGAAACCCTGTCTCGAAAAACCAAAAAAAAAAAAAAATCTACAATCTGTTAATCCGATGGTACGTGAGGTCTGTCTAGCCCATCCTTTGCTCGAATAGGTCTACTCAGGCAATGAGAGTCAATGACAGAACAACAGACAGGGTGCAGTCCTGTGTGCTCACTATGTGCTAGAGCTGAGCAATGGTTCTGACTCCCTATCTTCTAGAAATTTCTGCCTTGATAGCAAATCTTGCTACGTGGGTCCTCTTTGTTTCCAATTCAGGACCTCTGGTTCTAGGAAGCTGTCCTCCAGGGCTCCTCCACCAGCTCCTATGGCCCAGAAGAGCAAGTTGGCAGGTTTAGATGTGCTTGGGAACAGAGCTCTCCAAGCGTTGTTGTGGGGTTATCAGATGAGCAGTCTTGGCAACACTCCCATCCCAGGATGGGTGAGCTAGTTCAGCCGAAGCTCCAGTCTGGGAGGTGTTTAACTTTCAAAAGGAATCTTAGCAGGCCATGGGCCTGGAGAAACCACTCAGAGGAGAGGTGTTCTCTTGTGTGTCTTGCTCATGACATTTTAGCGTACTCTTAAAAAACAAAGTAGAAAGTTATTTTTTAAAAGAGGAACTAAGGTCACTTGCCCTTTAGGGACTTTAAGACCCACTTTGAAAATCTTTAAACTTCCTGTAGTCTATGGGCTGAAAACTCCTTCCCGCTGTTTCTGAGGAAGTGGACTCTGTTGTAGCTAGTCCCCATGAGTGTCATTCCCCAGCATCAGCAAGGTGCAAATGATGCCAGAGGAGCCACTTCCTGCTTCAGATAAAATGCTACTTCATGGAAAAAAAAAGTTAAGAATTCTTATTTTAAGAAGAGAAGCCGAGGCCGGGTGGTGGTGGCACACACCTTTAATCCCAGCACTTGGAAGGCAGAGGCAGGCAGATTTCTGAGTTCGAGGCCAGCCTGGTCTACCGAGTGAATTCCAGGACAGCCAGGGCTATACAGAGAAACCCTGTCTAGAAAAACAAAAAACAAAAAAAACAAACAAACAAAAAAAAAACCCAAAGAAGAGAAGCTGAGGACGAAGCTGTCTGAGAGAATCTCTGCCTGGCATGTGTGAAGTCCTGGGTTCAATCCCCCATGCCTGAGGGAGGAAAATAAGTCAGAATTTCTTAAATAGTTAATATGTTAAAAAATTTCCTCAAGACTCATTCACTGTTGAAATGTTGATGTTTTTCTAACAAAATATCTTACCTCATCTTGCTGCTGCCTTTCATATTTTTTGATAGTGAAATTTATTACTTTAATTGATTTCTCAATGTATCAAATGTATCAATGTATCAATGTATCAAATGTATCAATGTATCAATGTATCAATGTATCAAAAAAATGCCTTTTGTTTGTTTTGTTTTGCTTTTTGAGACAGGATTTCTCTGTGTAGCCCTGGCTGTCCTGGAACTTGCTCTGTAGACCATGCTGGCCTCAAACTCAGAGACTTCCCCTTCCTCTGCCTCCCAAGTGCTGATATAATGCCAACTTTTTAGTGGCAAAAATTTGGTTCCACAGAAATTTTATAAAGAAAAAATTTGAAACATTTTACAGATTTACATGTTATCTTGTGCAAGAGCATCTCTGTATTGCTCCATTTTTAATATATGTTCTGCCAAAATGAGCCCTGACAGGCATCTGAAAAGGCAACACAAAGACATCCTTCAGATAAATTTCATTATTTTATCACTCACTTCAAACACCTTAAAGAATGTGTCCTACATGGAAGGTTGGAGTTCCTCATCCTGACACTCAAAGCCTAAAGCCTTCCCTTGCCCCAGCCTCCCCCCCCCCCTCCCTCCCTCCCTCCCTCCCTCCCTCCCTCCCTCCCTCCCTTCTCCCCCTCCCTCTCTCCCTCTCTCCTTCCTTTCTTTACTTTGTGAGCTGAAGACCAAGCCTACAGCTTAACATGTGCTGGGCAAACGCTTTATCACAGACCCATCTTGGGCCCAGCTCTTACTTCCTGCTGAGCTCTCGGTAGAAGCTGGGTGGATCTACTCAACGAAGCTGTAAAATACCTCACGTGCTCTCGGTGGGTGAGGCCATTTCTCTCTTTCCATGCCCAGTATTGTTTACAGTTGCTTAAGTGTGTAGCTTTGGTCTTATCTCCTTCATAATGGAAGACTAAAGAGCCAGCTCCCTCTCTCTCTCTCTCTCTCTCTCTCTCTCTCTCTCTCTCTCTCTCTCACACACACACACACACACACACACACACACACACCTCCTGTCTCTTCTTCCATTTTGCATGCTGTCTCATGACATGTCTTAGTTTCTCTGTTCCATCCATGACACTATTTATAGTGTCGTGTTCAATATCTGACTTGAGGCCAGGATCATATATCCTACTTAGCATGCCATGGACCTACAGTCACTACTAATTCTCACAGACTGACAAAAGACCCCATCCTGTGATCTCTCTTGCTTTCTTTTTCGTTTTCATTTCTGATCTGAAAGAAAGACCTCTCCATGTTTCTTTCTGACTAGCGTGTGTGGTTTCTGGGCTTCAATACTGGGAAGGCCATCAGGAAGCTCCTGGCATGCTGAGAAGGCTCTCTGTGGGGCTTGCACTTGCTTTGGTCAAAGTATGTCCTTCTTCAAGCATGCTGCTGTGTTCCAGATGCTCTGGCTCTGGTGAACAAATGGAAGGAGCCTTCTTTTCTTTTCCTCTGCCCAAAACAGACAGGCTTTCCTAGCTACCAGGGGAAGCCAAACAAGAAACAAACACAAAAAATTAAAACAGACCTTCCTTATAAGTTTGGATCCTTAATGTGAGCTCAGACCCAAGGTTTTCAACCATCTTAATCCATAAGATGCTTGCAATGTCTGCCACCAGCTCCAAGGGAAGTTAGCACAGGATTTAAGCTAAAGGATTGGGCTTCTCCTCTCGCCCCGACTTGTCTCAAGCAGAGCGGCATTTTACAGTCGTTGCTTGCCTGCTGGCCGTGTCCTCCAGTCATTCTCTCCCCCAACTTGCTCATCTGTAAAATGAAGATAATTATAAAGTCGATGTGTGAATTGAAGGACATGTCCCAGGTAAAACCAAGAGCATATGGAAGGCTTCCAGTGGATGCCAGCTCCGGGACACCAGCCACGGCATTTCACAAGCAAGGGGTGAGGTAGGGGTGGAGGGGGGATCTGGGACAGACAGGAGAGGGTACCTCAGTTTCAGCTTCAGCTGCCCATTTCACACACCTATCAGGTTCTATCTCCTACTTATAGCTTCCCCTTTCATTCAAAGACACGTTCTCCCAGGCACCGTGGCTACTTTTAGGAGCTCAGTCTGAAATCTGTCAAAGAAAATGATGATATTTTAATACAGTAAAAAACATAACAATGACATCTTAATGCATTTGTTACCCTCAGCAAAGCAACAGAGCTGGTTCCCACAGCATTGCCCGAACTGTCTCACAACTGATAAAACGTCATTTCCTCTTTGGGACTCAAGTTCTTTAGCTGGAGGGTGGGTGGATTTCCATGTCATCTGCAGTATTCTTTCTAATCATGACAATTCTTTTACCCAAGTGGAGAGCCATTGGGCTGAACATAGAACTCTGAGGGCTGCATTGTAGGGTTCTTTTGGCCTCTTGGTTAAGAGGAAGTGGAACCAGGGAATCGTGAGATTCTGAATTATTGACAGTGCTGGATATGGTGACAGGGCATACAGAGGGAAGATGAAGCACAAACAGAAGAGATTTGAGAATTATTTTCATTGGGTCCACAAATACAGTTAAATCTCCCTGGGATTAAATATTTTAGGCATAACCTTGATTCCTAGTGTTTCATAATATTTTCTGAAAATCAGAAATGAATAGCTTTCTGAGGAAAGAAATCTTTATCTTACAATTTCATGTCAATGTTTTTTTTTCCCTTGTTAAAGACTAGTTATGGTATACCTCCACTGACTGAAACTGAAATCTCAGACTGGGTCTGCCCTTCCCTTAGTCCCTTGGTCAGTATAGCTTGTGAAGTACTGTGGCTAGTGTCCTGTGAAAGCGTCTCCATATGTGATGACTTTGCCCAGGCTGTCTCAGATCTGCCCGTTTTGCCCAGGCTATCTCTTTCTAATTTTCCCCTGTCTCACCATTTACCTATCTGCTCATCTTTCTATCCGGGTTTAATTAATTAATTTATTTTGTTTTTTTCGAGACAGGGTTTCTCTGTGTAGCCCAGGCTGTCCTGGAACTCACTCTGTAGACCAGGCTGGCCTTGAACTCAGAAATCCATCTGCCTCTGCCTCCCAAGGGCTGGGTTTAAAGGCATGCACCACCACTGACCGGCATCTATCCAGGTTTTAGAAATACAGAATATTTTGTCAGATCTTCAACAACTGTCGTTTGTCACTGGCCTGAATGGTAGAAGTCTGTTTGTTTGTTTGTTTGTTGCAATAAGAAACATGTAGAATTTTGACAAAAACAAAACAAAAACCCAACTAGATCAGCTCTGCAAAAACAAAAGAATATCCACAAAACCACAATTGTTTTGTCTGTCTTAACAAAAGGATGCTCCCCACTTTCTCCTGGAAGAGAGCTCTAGCAATGCATAGCGGTAGTGGGCTCTGGCTTGGTCCCCAGGCACACATGGGGCTTATGCTCCATGCTTTGGGTTTTACTGACAGTTTGAACAGAGGTAGAATAGCACCAATTTCAGAGTGAAGAACTAAACTCCCCACATCTTCCTGAAGGCAATACTTTAAGACTGTATACTAGTTTTATTTTTGTCAAAGGGAATTTAAAACTTTGCTAACAAATACATTTAAAAATAAAGCAGGGCTGGTGAGATGGCTCAGTGGTTAAGAGCACTGACTGCTCTTCCAGAGGTCATGAGTTCAAATCCCAGCAACCACATGGTGGCTCACAACCATCTGCAATGAGATCTGATGCCCTCTTGTGGGGTGTCTGAAGACAGCTATAGTGTACTTATAATAAATAAATAAATAAATAAAGTTTAAAAAAAAATAAAAAATAAAAATAAAGCAGGCAGGAAATATTTTGTGTGTATTTCATAGATGGGGAAACAGCAGCTAAGGTAATAGACTCAAATAGTGGCCAAGCAGGGACCAGGGCTGAAATGTTCTCATTTCCAGACCAGATGTTCCCAGAGAAAGGCAGTTACTGCTATTTTCCCCTTGTTGGAAATGCCTGGTTTCCACAGCAATAAGATAACCAGCGTATACCCAACAGAGCCATCGGTTCCCATAATTTTAGACTTGGTGGGACTTTAGGGACTATCTTACTCATCAATTCTGTAGAGGGCCCTACGGAGGGCCTTCCTCAGCCCCCTCAGAGTCTCTCAGGCTGTAGTGAAACTGACTGCCTGCTAACTGGCCCCCCACGGCAGCTGCAGCCTTTCTTTTTCTTTTTTAAATTTCTTATCTGCTTTGCATATTAATGATCCACAGAAGACTCCCTTGAAAAAGACAACCTAGACAGCCCTGTCCTTAGAAATGGAGAGATGCTTTGACATAATCAGTTCAAAACAAGGACATTTTAAGGTGTACCAACCAATACACAAGATAATAAGCAATCTTCGACCAAACTTATCTGGTGACTGTGTAATATACCACTTCAAGTTGTTGCCTTTCTGAATTTATGTACCTCTTTTTTTTTCTGTCTACCATCAGCAAAAGGGTACAGAAAGTATCTTAAGTGCTCAAGAGTGTGTGGAAGTGATGCATGAGCAAGAAGAGATTCTCTTTTAAAATAACATCAGTATGCAGCTGCATGAGCCTCAGTGCCACATGGAGTCAGAGCATGACTTGTGGAAGTCAGTTCTCTCAGGCCTGGCAGCAGGCACCTTAACCCAATAATCCATGTTGCCAACTCTGGTGGAAAATTTCAAATATCTTGCCTTTTAACGCTTCATGTTCTAACTTCCAATAGAGTCTAGCCAAGAGCACCTAGCTGTAAGGAAAATTATGGATTTTTTTAAAGACAGTAAGAATATTCTTCATTCAATATAAATATTAGAATAGTACTAAGATTGATGATATCAATTAAGTGAAAATATAGGCAATATAATAATTTATATTTATCAACTGCTTTATTACAAGTAATTAGTAAACTGTGTAGAAGGGTACAGGCTTTAGAATGAGATATACATAGTCTCAGAACCTGACTGCTGGGAAACCTGAGATAAGCCCACTACCTAACTGGTGCTCAGCTTTGCAATCTGTAGAATAAAACTATTGCGAAGACTGAGCATGATAACATACTCTTTGTATAGAAAGAATCTCTTTAAGCATCACCTGTCAATAAAAAAGCCAATGGCCAGTGAGCTGAGGCAGGAAACAGGAAGTGAGACATTGGCAGGAAGAGAGGAATCTGGGAAATAGTAAGAGACAGAAGAGACCCACAGGGGACAAGATGAGAGATGAGATGGGGTACAGACAGAGGAGACTAACAAAAACCAGTAGGTAGAGGAACTCGGAGAGATATTGAGGAGATGAGAAAGAATAAGCAGTTGGGACTGAAGGAGAGGTAACTAGCCAAGTGGTAAACATAGAATAGACTAAATGGTTAAATAAGTTAAGAGCTAGTTAGGGATGAGCCAAAGTTTATGGCCTAGGCATTTAATAATAACTAATTAGTTTCAGAGTCATCATTTTGGGATTCGGGTCTGGGAAAGGAAAAATAGAATTTAATATCTAGGTCAGATGTATAACTCATTAAAAATACCATAATGATAGGAAACCTGAAAGTAAATCCTTGTAAAACCTTAACAGAATTGAGGGAACCATATCAAGAAATATGATTGCTTCATATGGTGAAATTTTCAGAGTTAACATGGGCAAGGGTGGGGAACTGGCTAGGTGGACATGGCGCTTGCTGTTACAAGCATGAGGACCCAAGTTCAAGTCCCCAGGTCCCACATAAAGCCAGTAGCCAGCACCAGTAACTGCAGTACTCCCACTGAGAGATTTGAGGCAAAGACAGGAGAACCAGAAGCTCCAGGGCCACTCAGCCTTGTGTATGTGCACAGCATGGTGACAAACGTCAGAAAGGCAATGCTTCACACAAGGTGCTAGTTAGGCCTGACACCAGAAACTGTCCTGTGTCTTCTATATGTGTGCTGTGCTGTGGTCTATATATCTCTAGAGACATACATGCACACACATCCCATACTTTCTCTGTCTCTCTCTCTCTGTCTCTCTCTCTCTGTCTCTCTCTCTGTCTCTCTCTCTGTCTCTCTCTCTCTCTCTCTCTCTTCCTCTCCCTCCCACTCACTCCCTCCCTCCTTCCCTCTCTCTCTCTTCCTCTCCCTCTCCCTCCCTTTCTCCCTCTCTCTCCCCCTCCCCCCCTCCCCCCCCCCCACACAGATGGCTGTGTCAAGCCCTATTTCATGAATGTATTCTGACAGAAATAAGTATCACAAAGGGTTGCCAGACTATCACTTTGTACAAAGATTGCTTCTACAAGGACAGCTATCCAGTAAGTCTTTGTTCAGCCCAGACCAGCACCATCTTGCTTATTAATTCTTGTGGCCAAGGATGATCCTTTCAAAATGACTTACACAGTACTTACTCCTCATTTTCCTTGTTTCCCTTTACCCTGCCCCCTGACGGTTTCCATGGCTTCAGCCCCAGTTGTTCTGTGTGGCAATGCTCCCTGACTACTCGCAATCCAGTATTGTTACTCTGCTCTTTAGTCCTTCTGTACTATTTTTCTGTCAGTCTTTGTGATTTAAGTTGATGTGTGTGAACTAGAAACATTCAGTAATAGTAGAGGGAGACTACAGGATTTTTTTTTATTTTTTGTCACACATTGGGAAGCTGGAGCCCAGTTACGTCAGGGTTAGCCTGGCACCAGCATGCCCCAGGGCAGGCTGCCATAGACTTTGCTCTTCTTGTCGGTCACTTCATGGCTGCATGATAGCAGGTAGAAGCACACAACGTTGCATCAGTATTTTGGGAAGAAGGGAGGTAAAGAGTAATTCGTAGCTGCCAATTAGCTTGACTCCTTTTATAGAGCTTTCTTGAGCCCTCATCTAGAAATTCCACTTCCTGCTACTTAGCTGAAGCTAGGCCACTCCACCATTTTTCAGCAGGGCGCATACCTACACTAAACAAATCCAAGACTAATTAATAGGATTAATAGGAGATGATAGAATGTAGCCCTGGGCCAGCAAGCTAGCAGCCTGCCTCTCTCCCTCCCTCCCTCGCTCCCTCCCTCCCTCTCTCCTTCCCTCCTTCTCTCTCTGTCTCTGTCTCTCTCTCTCTTTCTCTGTCTCTGTAGACCAAATGTTACTTCACTAAAATAAAATCTCAACATCTGGAAGACAAATATTTCTCATAGAAGATCATTACAACACAGTATTGACTTGTATCCCCCTGTATAACAAATGCCACTGGGCATACAAATGAACTTTTCCCAAAGCTTTACCTCTCCAAATCTATTTGCTTGTGCCCTACCTGTTACTGTCTCACCTGTCACACA